TTTACAGCTGAGCACAGGCTCCAGGCTTTTTTTACAGCTCTTCCCGGGCTGTGCACTGCACACACGCTCCAGCAAACCCCCTTCCCTTCCCTTCCCCACCACCTACAAACATGCCAATTAAAAGGAATTCCATTTTCAAGTAATTTCATTTCACTTGGCTAGAAAGGTCACTAACTTACAACTCTGATGGCTATAAACATGTCCCCACTTTCTTACCATGCAAGAATGAATTTGATATGTTGAAGCTTAATAGAGAAGTATTTTTCATTGTTAATTTGTACTGAAGTTTAAAAGTTACTCTCTCTCCATTTATATTTTTGATATTACAAAAAAAAAAAAAAAAAAAAAAAGATGGACACTGTCTTCTCCACAGGGAGTGGAATGGGGCTGACAGGTCTAATATAGGCTTTTCCACAGTGCCAAATCATTTGAAATTCATTTCCCTTGCGACCACAGTCCTTACCTCAGGCATCACGAGGTAAGTCATCAGAAAATTAGCTCACTATTTGGTTACGAAGTCCACTATGCTGCTTGCAAAATGCAAGTGCACGGGGGAAGAAGTGCACGTCTTCCCTCTAAGGTGGCTCCAGGAAAGGCCAGCGGGTGACGTGGGGGGCACAGCATCATTGCAGGACATCGCTACCAGCTGGGAGCTCCACCACCCACCCCAGCCCCTGGCCAGGGAACGCGGCCAGGGCTGGCCTTGCCGTTTTCAACTCCTTTCTTCTTGATCTAAGACAACCTTTTTTTATTGCTTGAAACAGACTAAGAATTCTAAGAGCATGATATACAGAAAATGTCTCGTTATATTATTACCCAAAAATTCCTTTTCTTGGCATAGCTGCCTTGGGTTGTAATTTTTAATTCTCCTTTTTAAGCACTCCCACAGTGAAAGACAGGCACAGAGCTATGGAAGTACGATTTGCAGTTGGGTATTTTCATTTCAATAAAGGTTGTATATATGAACTTGACGAGTGGTCTGGACATACCCATCTATCTCAAAAAGTCTATCTGATTTTAATTCTCTTAAAAGATTATTTAACCAGAAGTGCATTTCGAGCTATAAATAAGGCAAAGTGAACCAAGAAACAGCTGCTGAGGAAGTTAATGTGTCCCACGTATATGTTGTTATACGGTGATGAAAAACAAACAAACAAACTGCTACCCTCACACGAAAGCTGGATATGAAGCATAAAGGAAGATCATTTTTACATGTAAAAGAAAGGAATTTATGGAACACCACTGCTGTATTTGTGTATGTACTAGATAATGAACACAGTACGAGCTACGTGTTAGTAAATCTTAGTCATCTTTTTCATGCTGAACATTTAGTTAAAATTATTACCCCAAACCAAGGCCTGAAAACAGATTGTAACCTCACCGATTATCCCAGTGCTTTCAGACATGTATAATGATGCGTTAATACATAATTCCACTGGCTTCTGTAAATGACCCTGATTCCTTCTTCTTTCACTGGTAAAAGATTGACTTCTTATGCAAATACTCTTCCATGAGGGCTGTAATACTATAGTTTAAAACATATACAAGCCTTTCATTATTACAGGATAATTACTGAAAACTCAACAAAATTCACAGTTACCACACCCCGACCAACAGAGCCACTTTCATGTTCCGAGATGGCAGCTCCATAATTATTTCTTGTTCTCTCATTTACCTACAGCAGGTCAAGCAAAGGCTGGAAGGCACATCTTGGCACAGAGTCCCAGGAGAAGAGAATTTACCTTTTTTTTTTTTTTTTTTTTCCTGGAGATTGTATGTATTTACTAGTTGTACTCAAGGGAGTGACACATTTGTATTTCCATCCTAAAACAGTAACTATCCAATCAAGTATTAGGTGCTATTTCATCCTTGAAAGGATGAAATGTTCATTCTTGGCTAACAAGACAATCCAGTGATTTTTAAAAAGTTGGTAATCTTGAAATTTTTTTTCTACTTTCCTTGATAAAGTCTCCTTTTATCACAATTCCCTGTGTTTCAACTCTGTGGAGCAGTGTGGTAACAGACCACCTAGCAAAGCTCTGGCACATTCTTGTAACAAGAAGTTACCCAAACAAAGCAGGCAGCAGTGATCGTAATAATTTGATATTTTTCTAGGAAATATATAAGGCTCTCTGGAGGCGTACTTTAAAATACAACATTTATTAATTAAATTTAGCTTTATTACCAGTCGTCTCTGTTCCACTTGCACCACTGTTCCTTTTTTTTTCTGTTGCAGCTGAAATAAGAACTTGCAAAATTAAAAAAGGTTCTTCCGTTCAATACATGCCAGTATTTTTTTAAATCTCAAAGTATAGCCAGATTTTTTTGCTGTCATAACATGCACAGTCATATCATGCTTAGCTTTATATAGCAAAATACATAGCCATATTTAAATGCAACAGATAATTCCCATATTGATAACACTGATCTGCCTTGGTTTGGATAAAAAATTGCACATAGTGGTTACCACAAAAGCACCTGCATAATTAAAATATTATACTTTCAATTTTAATACAAAAATAAAATATAATGAAGATTCTAGAAAGATTTTGGTTTCAGAAACAGTTCCTTTCATTAGCTTAAAAGTCATATTTCAGTTAATTTTAGATTTTCTACTCAGTAAAACTTAAAGATACATTCCCTGATTTTTTTTTCTTGACTCCAGTGAACAGCTCTCTAAGATCTGGCATATTGATTTCTTGTTGTGAAGTGAGCTGTTCAAGCTCCATTTAAGATTTTCATCTTGCATGTAGCCCTGAGCACATCATAGCACCATAAATTAGTTAAATTGCACATTTATCACAAATGTTATTTTAAGATACTGCGTAAATGTGATGGCTGGAAGATATACAGTATGCTGCAACAAGCCACTACTTGGGTGGGGTTAGACCAGGGTCACCTTTATACACCTGTGATTTAAAGCTCTTCTCACCCATCACAATTTCATTTTTAACCTCTTTCTTGAGGCATTTTGTTTTCTCCTGCACTTGATCTGCATATTCCTAAATAAAATACCAAATGCAAAGCAGAAGTCGGAAGTCAGATGCTTATTTTAAAATCCTGCATTTATACCTTCATGGTTGTCTAATAGGAAAAAAAAATTATCTTAACACAGCTAGGTTGGTGATTTGGTTAGCGCTAATAGTTACCATGCCAATATACATACCAGTGTATGGATGAAAAGAACATTATTCTAGTTCATTGATTCTCTAAATTCTTTATAATGTGAAATCACATTGGTATGCCAGTCCTGGAGGTTCTGAAATGCAAGCTGAACTTTATTTTAATAAATTTGGGATATTCAGATCCTGACTACCCATTCATTTGCAAAGTTTCATGCACATTTTAAGAAGCACATTAAAAAGTCCTTTCTGGTCCATGCTGGCAGATCTGGATATTCCCTGAATTTGTACCTGGCACATCTCACTGCACTTTCAGACCCAGGAGTTGATTTTTACCAGATCAGGGAGGTTGCATCAGATCATCAGATGCCCTGCCTGTATTTTAAGAGTGAGTGGAAAGAACCCTGCAGACTCTGCAGTCTCTTGCTTTTACTCCCTCCCGTGTCCCAGATAACAGTTATTGCGTTCAGAGCTTTGAGCATTACTATTATAAGTCAATGGTGCATCTTAAAAATACATTGATTGACAATATATGCAATAATCTGCCAGTCTCCTTATGTGTGAATTTCTGGTTTGCAACCAAATACTATATTTAAGCTGTTATAATTTTCAAAAGAGGAATTTTCTGCTGTAGAGGTAAAAAGTTTGGCTGGGTTTAGACTGAGATCATGTATTTGTAAAAAATGTGGACAGGCACCTGGGAGACTCCAGGGAAGACTTCAGCCAGCCAGGTTCCCTTTCCTCACTAAGTGAGGGGCTCCTGGGATGGTACAGTCAACCAGTAAAACTGCTGTGATTTTATTGCTGGAATTTGAGCTGAGGCCATAAACATTGACACACAAATGACCTTAAAATCAGACACAAGTGTGAGCCAAAAGAGGAGGAAAAAACCAAAGCCCTGATCCCATTCACTTGGTCCACTTAGCAGTATTTGCTGTAGAATGAACAGAACATTCCAACACATTTTTGAGACACAGTACTGGCCTTTAACATTACAGAGAAAGATGGAAAAATGGAAAGACAGAAAGGCAAAGAGAACCAAAGATTCAATTACTTGCTTACTGGAAAACAGTGGACTTTTTTAAAAAAAGAAAGGAAACTGTACAATTGACACTGGGATGGTAGTTCTCACTGAGGATGCTGAAGTTCTGCAGTGGTGGATTTGGTTCCCATGTAGCCATCACTGGACTCAGAATTCACCTGACTGGCAAAAGGCATCACTTACATGCATAGCAACATAGGTGTTTGGAGATGCAAATTGTTTTCAGAGGTTTTGATGGGATGACCTGTCAACACCAGCAGAAATCTGTCATTATCATATAAACGCTCCAGATTGTTTGCTTTTCTTTGGCTGTGTTTATTCACCTCCTCTCCCCTCTCTACCTGCAGCAGGCAGGGCCAGAAGAGGACTCACTTCAAAAGCACAAAGTTGGAGTCACCGGTCTCAGGTTCCTTCTCCTGTCATTTGGAAATGCTGGGTAGCTGGAAAGGGATGCTCTGAGCAGTGGAACACCCTCGGGTGCAGACTGTGCTCAATGCATTCAGGAGGAAGGCAGGAGAGCAGTGGTGCCTGCCTTGATCTGAACTCACAGCAAAACACCTATTTGCTTTGCCACGCACTGCTGCTAACCCCCCTCTCCACAGCCAGCCTTACCTGATGCTTAAAAGGGAGTTATAACGCTCATTTATCTCTTCTGGGGGAAAAAACTCTGTTAATGCAGCCTTTGAATAAGTGCTACCCTGCTCTTTAAATGCTAAAGTTCACTAAAACTCCAGTGATTTATGTGCAGCTTTTGACTGCCAGCACCTGGCAGATGAAGAAACCTACTCAAGCTTCAGTCATAAACAGATAGCATACAATTTAATTTTAATGTGCTCGTTAGTCGTAGCACATTTCAGACATAATTGTGAACGCAACACAAAATTATAGCAAAAAGACAATTTTAATGCTGCTGTAGAAAAAAAGGTTATATGAAGAGTCATATAATGGTGCTTCATTGTCAACAACAAAACAGGGCACAGAGTGCATTACAGTGTCTGTGCTGTTTACATGCCAATATTTTATACATAGATTCTCATATGGTGTCAGCTGTCAGTTACTTCTGCAAATTAACTGCCAAAAATGGAGACGAACAGAATCACTTAGTGTGCTGGTAACCACGGGTTACCTTTCATATGCCTAAAGATAAAGCTGCAGTATGGAATCTTGGGAGAATAATTAGGCAGAACAAAACAGAAAGTTACCAATTGAAATAAAAAGGCATTCTACAATAGGAAATAACAACCAAGAGCGCTTATAAATAAGTAAAAGAGGTTATATCACAGAATGCCTCATAACTTTTTTAAGCAAAGTATTACAGTACAAACATTTTAAAGGCTTTATCAATGTTTAGGAAATACAGTACAAGTTTTTCAAATAGATTTAACCCTTTGAGCACTGAGTTTATTTTGAATTTTCTCTTTTTATTTTATTTTTATTTTTTTTTTACTAATAAATACCTTTAAAAGTCATGTTGTGCAAAACAGTTAGAATGTATGCCAGGAATGCAGTCCGTGGCTTCTGTTTCTTCAGACAGTTTAAAAAAAAAAAAAAACAAAAGCAAAAAAACCAAACAAATGATTGCAACACTAATAAATATGTATAATTTAAACATGAACCTCTCTTAATATAGATGTACTGTATAGCAAAACAAAGCAAAACATACTTTGCTTTAAGAATAATGTTTCTGAATACTTTATAAATGTTATCTGTGGTATCTTTTATCACATAATTTACAATGTTTGATTGTTAAAGGAAAAACCATTAGATCTAAAAAAAAATGAAATATACACTATATATAGGTACAGTTTATACCTGGGTCTTATCAGGTACAAACCCCGCTGCTGCTAAAAATGCTGAAAAAAAAGCAAATGGCGTTAACCACAATCACATTTTTCATAAGAGATTTTGAAATCTATACAATATATACATCTATGTTTCAATGTGAAAATTATATTTTTAAATTTCAAGGTGTGAGACACCTCTGCATAAATGGAGGTTCATATTAGTAATCAGAACTAAGCTAGTAAGGGTCTAAAAAAAAAGCATATCCTTACATTTTTACCAAATTAATGCAAAAGTGCTTCAAAGTACTCAGAGGGCTAAAGATTATAGGGTGAGAAATACCAGCACACTTAGGTCACATGAAAAAGTGCACCAGAATTAGTTATAAATGCTTAATTAAACTGTCTGTTAATGCATGCAGCTTGATGCATCAGAGGGATGCACAGCAACTAAATCCAATTTACACAAAGTTCCAAACACTTACCACTGCATTTTAACCTTCATATTTTACCAGTAACAACAGCTGATTATGCACCTCTATTTAAACACTGTACAGTTATACAAAACAGTTCAGCCCAGAGCGACTCTGGAGTTAAAATAGGAACATGTGCCAAGAACTAAACAGTAGCTTTAAGGCGTCTTTGACAGTTTTCCTCAAAGCAAATTACAGTTATTTTAATCAAAAGCAAATGCTACTGCTTCTCTAACTCCGAAACGTACAGAAGATGATCCTCTGGTGACTTCCCATGTGTTTTACTAAGATGAAGTTTAACAGCATGCTTGCTTGCAAAAGTCCTGTTACAAAGTTTGCACTGATAAGAAGTTCCGATATCTTCCTCTGGAGAGGACGTCACCAGTTTTTCAGACGGTGACTTTGCTTGTGCTATCTGATTGTTAATCTGTTCACTGGACAGTTTGGACAAGTCTCTTAACCTGAAACCCAGATGAGATTCAAGATGACTGATATAAGTTGAAGGAGTTCTGATCTGTGAAGCACAGTCATTACAAAAGAACACTGGGTGCCCAGTGTCCAAATTTTTAAGGAACTTAGTTCCCCCCGTCCTTCGGAGCTGGTATTTCACATTGGCCAGCCAGTGGCTAATTGTGGTCATTGAGAGTCCCGTAAACCTGGAAATGTGCATTCTTTCTTGAGGGCTCAAGTCTGACATGATGTATTTGCCCTCTGAAGTCTGCCGTAAGCTGGCTGCAAACTGGGCCTGCAATATGAGCAAGTGCTGAGGGTTCCAGTTAGACTGACGTCCCTTCCTTTTCTGAGCTGGTGTACTCTCTTCTGGTTCCTCTATTGTGGTACCATCAATGTCAGATTTCTCAGATATGCTGGAAGGTGTGGAAGATTTTGATGTGTGACTTTCTGTCAGGTTCTTCAGCATATCAGATATATCTGACAAGGCATTCTCGCGTAGCGGCGAGTTTGACATGAATGACACGACTGCAGATGTCTTTGCTGTTGTCACTGTAGATGAAGAAGATGCAGAAGATGTCGATGTGGATGACAAAAGCGCTGAACCCAAAGAGCAGCTTTTGTCACTCTTGCCTTTCGTCAAATCTATGGGTTGGTCATTGTTGACATGATAAAAATAACGGTCTAAGTGGTCTGATTTTTTGGACTGTAGAGGTGGGGTGGCCACTGCAGCCTTTTCTGCCAAACTGTTGCTCATTTTAAAAAGCATGCTCATTGGATCCAGAGCGGGCAAAGATGGCTTTGCTGCCTTGCCAAGGTGAATGTTCATGACAGATTGCAGTGCACTTAATGGATTTACAAATGGCTGTTCGGGAGGGTGGTCAGTGATGATGGCTGTGCTGCTACTTAAAGAACCTACAATGGATTTCACAGGCTCTTTCCCGTTTTCCACAGGTTCTACAGTTGGGCTGTCTTTGCAACCATCTCTCTGAGGAACTGGGCTGTTCTGCTGGCTTTTAAAGCCACCATCACTGGGGGGCTCCATCTTAAGGGGTTCACTGACTTCACTGCTGCACGGCGAAGGCGTTGCACGCTTCAGCGGAGAGAGCTTTCCTTCGGGCTCTTTCATCTTCTCCTCCACTTTAGCCACCTTCTCAGTGACCTTCTTTACCAATTCTTCCATGGCATGAAAGTTTGTTTTTGGCACAGGTGAGGTCTGACTGCTGGGTGGAGACACTAAGGGCTGGTTTTTAGTTGGTGACACTAGTTCATTGTTTCCAAACATAGGTTTTAAGGGTGTACTCTTTCCAGATGAGCCCAACGACAGCTTCATCATATTAGGCAGCTGGTAGGCAGCATGAATGCTGGGGTAGCCACCCCAGCTCGGTGTGCCATTCTGGGCTTTGTTTATAGCTGATGTAACTGTGTTTTCTAAAGACTTCAATATGTCTAATCCCCCCTTAGGGCTCTCTTCTAGGTCATTTTCAGTCAAGTAATGGTATTTTGAGGAGATATCATACTTCTCCTCATCCTCGCTTGACTTTTCTTTGTCTTTCATTTTGTCATCAGCAATGACTCTTTCCTTATCTACTTCTTTTTTAATCTCAACATTTAATTTAGGGGAAACACTAGAAGGTGTGTTGGAAGGAGATGTAAAGGTGGTGGCAGCTAGTGGCACAGACTGGACCTTCTCATCTACTAATGACGTTATTGTCGGTGTGGCTGGGGCTTCTATAATTGGTTTCCCTTTTTTCATGGCAGAGTTAGTGACTTTAATAAAATGTCCCGTCACCATCATGTGAGCTGTGAGCTCCTGCAGGGTGTCATGTGAACTTCCACACTCCATGCACTTCAGAATTTGAGATTTCCTCGCCTCAAAGTGCCAGGCATAGCTGGCACCGTTCTGGTGACCGTAGCGGTTATTTGGCGTAATGTAGGGATTGGAATTCTTTTGAAGTGCATCGTTACTATCTGAGATTGTGGCTTTTGGTGTCCCAGCCGTGGAGTCTGGAGAACTTGGAAGTTCAAGCTCCAGTGATGCTTTCTTTCTAGTAGCTGGGATAATTTTTGCTGCTACAGGTGTAACAGGTTCCTTCAGAGGCACTTTTTGGTAGTGTTTTGTTTTGATCATATGAACACTCAAATCCTGAAGAGATTCAAATGAATGACCACAGTACATACACTTTAGCACTTTCTGGGCATCTTCTTTCCCTTCCATTTCAAGCAAAGAACGTTTGCGAGGTTTGGACCATCTTTTGGGGTTATTGTTATCTGTTTCATGGTTGTCATCTCGATAATGTCCTGTTTCATTCATGTGCACTGTTAATTCTACTAAAGTATCGTAGGCAGCACTGCAGTCTTTACAGCGGAATTTACTGGCTCCAGTGAATATAGAGCCATAGAGCTTACTGCTCTGTCTGTACAGCTGGACTGTGCTAAAAAGGCTTGGTTCTGGCAGAATTCTGCTCTGAGAAACCTGCTGCAGTGTTTTGGCCATTGCAGTCTGGTGCCAGTCAAAGCTGCCACTTCCACAACTGCTGCTGCTGCTGCTGCTACTGCTGCTGCTGCCGTTGTTTTTTTCTGAAATTGGCTGGTGAAGGTTCAGATTGAGATTGGACCAGTAGGAATTGGAGAGGAAGTTATTATACACGGCCTTCATTTGTTCTAAACTATCAGACACCGTGGAGTCTTCCAGTGGTATGGAAACCTCCTTGCTCTCTTCCTCATTTTTAATGGAGCTGCTCTCAAAGTCTGCCATGCGGTCACTTGTCTCACTGATGTGGGACTCACTGTCCATTTCATGGCTAGAGAACTCAGCTGCTGGAGAGTTTTGGTAGCTTTGGCAGTTCTTACTGAAGTCTTTCTCTGGACATGCATATTTTGCTGAAGGCTCCCCATCAACTGTGTTTTCATCAGGTTCCACATCTTCTTCTACCAGCGCCGCTGCTTTTAGTTCGTCTGAAACATAGGCTATTATGAAGAGAAGAAAATACAAGTTAGTTTCTGCTCATCATACTTTTGCTTTAGCCAAAGAAGTGTACTTATTTGTAAAATTAAACAGTTAAAATTTAGTGTTTCTTCAGAGCAAGAAAAAAAATCTGCTCTTCAAACATAATTTGCCACCTTATTCTTCTCAAGGGGCAACAGCTTGAAATTAAAACTAAATTTGAAATTAATGAAGCACATTCTGGAGGTGGCATTCATTTCTAAAGTAATAAATTACTTGTATCAACCTCAGAGACAGCAGTTCCTGTCTGTCAATTAATATGTCTTATGCTTCTCCTACCCCTAATGCATTTCTTAACAGACAGATTCACAATTTAAATTAAGCAAGCATTTTTTGCTCATTACAGTTTTGAGACTCGATCTTTAATAAATATAGAGCACAACAAACATCAAGAATTTCTACAAAGTAAAAAAATTGCCAGTTAAAATAAATTTTACAAATCAGATTTTTTAAAATTATCATTATTAGTCATGTCACATTTTAGAAGAGATGGTTAAATGCAAGTGATGTAACCTTTGGAAACAACTCGTTCAAAGCAATTTGAGGATATTCTTTATGGGTGTAACAAATGTCCCGTTCCCATTTAAACACAACTTCCTCAACAAGAAAGCCCATGCAGAACTATGTCAGGAGCTAGTTCAATGAAATTGGTATGCTGCACCCATTCTTGCTGTATAAATATATACAAGACCTTCCAGTGGACCTTACAAATGTCAAAGTGTTTGCTCTTTAGACTACTTTGTCAATATTTACTCAGCATAAGCTACACGGACACCCAACAGGGATCCTGTCTTTTTTTCCCCTCAAGTAATGCAACTGGTGATGTAAATCTAAGATACTCCTCTTGAATAGGACAGTTGGCAACTGACAGTAAACAATTTTTTTTTCCATGGTGCTTCTGTTTTACATAAACTAAGTCTACCTAAGTTTTTCCTTTATGCAAGAAAATTAAGGAAACATTAAAAAAGGACTCATTAACTAATCAAAATTATCTACTTCTATATGATCTATTAATTTGCAGGAAAGCAAAAAAAGAATATGACTCTCTTCAGAATTTAAAATCTCTCATAAAGATAATTATAAACTGAAAAAAGTCACATTTTCAGTAACTCTGTGGTTAAAGATACCTGACATTTGACCTTCTCTGCAACACATCTGGAAAATGTAGGGCATTTGTATCTTGAACAACCTATAGCTTCTTTCTTCAGGCAATAGTGCAGAGAAGATAGCCATTTACACCCCAAAAAGCCCTACTTTAACCAACAGACTGAAACATGTAGAACACTATAGTAGATATCACACACACAGTACTAAACCTTGCAAACTTCTTTCAGGGAAAATATGTTTAAATGTTATCAGAAAACCACAAGAGACAAAACAACTGTTAAAGTGACAATGAAATCAGGCTTTTAGTTTCACATGGAGTATTTCTTCATTCAGTTAGGTAATACAAAATATTCACTACTGTTCTTTCACATGGATGAATGGTAGCAAATCTTCCTCCAAGCATGTAAAGTTATAATGTGATCCTCAGAACACAAGTTAAACCTTTGAAAGCACAAACATATCACATAAGAGCAACAGATAATAATGATCGATTATCTCGGTTCAAATAATTTCAGTGCAGAAATTTCAAGCAGCAAGGGCCCTGTTTTTAAAATTTGGGAGCACAGTGTTTGAAAGAATAATGTTAAAAAATTTTATCATATGATGCTTCAAAGGTGCTGGTACAAAGATCAGACTTTGGAAATAAGTACACCACTCTAATGAAATAGAGCTGTACTGTTTTGCTCTATTTTATGTTTTTTCAAAATATTTGGGAAAAAAAGCATTATTATTTTATGTATATCAAAGACTCAACAACTTGAAATAAGGTTCAGCTCTGTCCTGCAAATACTTGCAACAAAAACAAATACATAGAATCGAAAAAGGTGGATTTTCAGAACTTTAGCACAGGAGACCAAAGCAGTTCAAATTACTCTCTGAAGCTGAAAAATTTTGGATAACTACTGATAATGTGCAGACAATTGATTGTTAACTGCCTCTCTCTCAACCACACCAAATCCCCCTGAATAAGGAATTATGGAAGGAAGAAATCATGGCATGAAAGCTCTGATTTGGAAGCAAATATAACCTCTTCCTATTCCACCCTTGTGGAAACAGATTTTCTTTTGCAACTCCTGTTTCTTTGCCTCTGATTTGAAACTGGATAACAATTTCCTTTTCGCACAGCAAAGAACACCTGAAGTTATCACCACACTACCTGCCCAAAGAGACCTCACTGACACCTGCAGGCTGGGGGGCACAGCAAGGCTCTCCGAGTGCGCCTGTCTGTAGTTTTCCCTGGCTGCTGAGCACCTGTCTGAGTGTGTGCCACCCATCCCCACCACCACATCACATTCCAAACCCAAGGGCTCTATCCCTGCACACCATGGAAAGCCCTCCTCGGACGCAACCAACACAACCAGAGGGCACAGAACCAACTCCCTAATTAGTATCATCACATTCCAAACCCAAGGGCTCCATCCCTGCACACCATGCAACCAACACAACCAGAGGGCACAGAACCAACTCCCTAATTAGTGTGTTATTCTTTACATTTTTATTTCTCTTACTGCTGAAGTCTTATGAATTTTGTTTGAACTGAAAGACTTGTCACATTCACAGCTTTTTTAGAGAGTGACTTTTACATTAGGGAAAACCTCCAGCATGCAGCTCATTTAAATGTAAATCTATTTACCTTTCATGCTTTCTTTGCCCTTTTCACCAACTATCAAGCATATTTGCGTGTTAACCAGGAGCTGCCTCCTCTATAGCTGTTCCCCTTCCTAAGCTCAAGTTGTGAAGCCAACTTGTGACATCAGTCTTTGATCCAGAAATGCAGGAAATAAGGCACAAACGACAGTGTGGAATTTAACCCAGCAATCTGCAGCTTCGAAAAAGTGACAGTTCCAAGGGCTCCTTCTGCTCCTTCCCCTGCACAGAGGAGAGAAGGGATGAAACCTGGTCTAGTGGAAGGGTCCCTGCCTCACCACACCTTGCTCAGGGGCAAGAAATGGTCAGCATGAGCACAGATGAAGGTAACAGCCTCACTGCACCAGAAATAAGGACAAGGAGGCCCACAGCAAAGAAGTTTCTTATTCGGTGAAGTACCTACAGGAAAAGTGAAGAGACTGTGAAAGGAGAGAATAAAATCAGGAGGAGATGGTAAAAGGGTTTTCCACTGTGATTCACTGCCTGGAGGACAGACTGTTTATAAGAAGCATTGTCACCAGCTCATCCTTACTCAGCCATTACTCTATTATGCAAAAAAAAAAAAACCAAAAAAAAAAAACAAAAAAAAAAAAAAGACAAAAAAGACTCGTAGTTCGATATTTTTCAAGTGTAGAATAAATGTTCGAAATTTTTCAAGTGTAGAATAAATGTTTGAACAGCAGGGCATCTGTATAGTTCGATATTTTTCAAGTGTAGAATAAATGTTCGAATCTTAAGGGTCCAACCCAGCACCAGCAAACAGCAGGGCATCTGTAAAACTGTTCTTCAATGCCTCAACAGCAAAGTCTGAGGGGAAAAGAGACAACTTTAAAGGCAATTCTAGTGGCAGGAGTTAATAAAAGTGGGAATGAAAGAAATTAGGCAGTTCTGGGTTTTGTTTTTCCAGAGAAAGAGGACCAAAAAAATCACAGTTCTCAAAAAAGTGTTTAGTTTACATCTCACAGGGCACCATAACCCACAGGAAATTGCCTGCAAATTGAGCAGTGGTGTCACTGTGACACAGTATTTGACAAAAAGTGGAAAGCTGTTGCCTGGCATGGCACTCAAGTTTCTGGAGAAGAGGATATCAAAGGGGTTCAGAAACACCTTGCAGGTACAGCCATAGAGAGGTTGAGAAGAGACAGTTCCCTCATTAATATTTGTTGTAATTATTAACTGAAGTGCTCGGTAACAATGAAATTAACACATTTGATACCAATATATAGCAGTAAGCTGTGGTATAATGCAATTCATTTCCACACAAGAGGGAATTACCTTCATAACTGAGCTATGGATCATTTCTTTGCCAGTGGAAATAAATTGTGATCCATCACTGTCCAAAATGATCTACATATTGCATAGACAGTAATAAACTCATATACCTGGCTCTGCACAGGCACCAGGGACCTGCTGCTCGAGAGCAGAGAGGCACCAGCAGCCCACGGCGTCTCCAGAGGCACAGGAAGCCCCCGAGGAGCCCGAGCAGCTGTGCCTGCTGATGTCCTGGGCTCTCCATCACCACGGCTGCCACTCCAGCCTGACTGCCAGAGCTGCTCCTCAGCAGAAGCAGCAGAAACACGGAGTGCGTGGCACAGAATTCACACAATTCGCAGAATCACTGGGTTGGAAGAGATCTTAAGGGTCCAACCCAGCACCAGCACCCCAACTAAACCCCGGCACCCAGTGCCACATCCAGGCTTTGTTAAACACACCCATGGATGCTAACTGCTCCACCTCCCCAGGCAGCCATTCCAGAACTTTATCACTCTTTCTGTGAAAAACTTTTTCCTAATATCCAACCTATATTTCCCTTGGTGCAGCTTGAGACTGTGTGCTCTGGTTCTGTCAGTGCTGCCTGGAGAAAGAGCCCAACCCCAGCTGAGCACAGGCATCTTTCAGGAGGTATAGAGAGTGATGAGGGCACCCCTGAGTCTTTTTTTCTCCAGGCTTGTCACCCCCTCCATGGCAACACCCCCACAGTGAGTGGCTGGACACCCACCTCCTTGAGATTGTTTGGAAATACAAGACCACGGCACTAAAGGTGTATTTTGCTGTTCTCCAAAACCCAGTTATATGCACCATTTTTTCCTTCATTTCCTGAAAAATAAAACTGAAACCATATATTTTGGCTTGGATCTATCCAAATATTTCATCCAAATATTTCATTTCAATACTTTTGAAATTTTTTGTTTTAATTATGTTTTTTTCT